TTTGAAGCGCTGTATCTGACAATGTTGTACTCTCCCTTAAGCTGCAAATCAGGGGGCGAGGACAGAGAGAGATGGGCATGGCACAGCTCATTCTCATGCGGGAAGCCTCTGATTAGCAGTGCTTTTGTGGGATTTACCAAAGAGGGGAAGGACAGGTTCTTCAGGGTGACTTGATTCTCCAAAGAGCCTCCTGGATGATTGTCAGAGGTTGTCAGGCTGGAGCTGGGTCGGTAATGACTTTTAGATTGGTTAGCAATCAATCCCCCAAATGTTAGGTTGTAATTAAGTGCCCACTGTGTAAACTCATCTATGGAAAGCACTTCAGGGGAGCCATTTCTGTGAGCTGCTCATTATGTCAATCAGAGGTGTAGGGAACGAGAGATGCTGGTTTGCCTCTAAGCACCCTTCCATCCAGACACCCACACACTAACACATCATCTTTTCTGTTTCAGGGAAGAGAAGGCCAACGGGGACTCCCAGGTGTCCCGGTAAGTTTCCTTACTCCCTGTCCCTTGTGATAGGTGGGAAGAAGGAGAGTCCTCACAGGCAAACGGTGGCGGTAATGAATGAGCATTTGGAAAGGATGTTGTAGGAAGCACAGAGCACTGAGCATGATCCCCATCTATGGTGGGAAATACAAGTCCCCATCAGTTCAGCTGCCCAGGAACAGGACAGGCTTGGCCTAAGGCAAAGAATCCTTCACAGATACCTCGTAGTAAACAGAATTGGTGCCCCTGTTCTGCATTTAACTGCTTTTTGTATGCATTTGAAATCCATGGCAAGAGAATGAAATTCTTCCTCAGAATAACAAACAAGCAAAAAAAAAAAAAAAAAAAAGCAAGCAAGCAAGCGTGGGTTCATTCCTTAGACAGTAAGGAAAAGTAAATCCTAGGTAAAGTAGGAGTGACCTTGAGCCTAAAAGCCATGAGTCAGACAAAATAGGACCTATGTACTGTATAGGTCATAGTGACCCTATAGGACAGAGTAGAACTGCCCCCATAGGATTTCCAAGGAGCGGCTAGTGGGTTTGAACTGCCGACGTTTTGGTTAGCAGCCAGTCTCTCTCTTAACCGCAGTCGGAATAGACCTGACGGCAGTGGGTTACTGTACAGGTACTAACTTACTTTCCTAGTACTGCCGTAACAGAAGTACCACAAGCAGGTGGCTTTAAAGAACAGAAATTTATTTTCTCACAGTTCAGGAGACCAGGGGGCTAGAAGTCTGAATTCAGGGTACCAGCTGTAGGTGAAGGTTCTGGGAGAAGATCCTTGTCGCGGCTTATACAGCCCCAACATTCCTTGGTTCCTTTGCGATCTTCATGTGTTACCTACACCCCCACCCCCCGTTTGTACTTTATACTCTCAGTGTCTATGCTGCTTCTTATGACTCAGAAGTGATTAGGTTTAGGGCACACCCTATACTGACACGGCCTCATTAACATAACAAAGAAAACCGAATTCCCAGAAGGGATTCCTTCCACAGGTATAGGGGTCAGAACTCCAGTACATATTTTAGAGGGACACAGTTCAATCCATTACAGTATATTATGTAGGGAAAATCTACATGGGAACTATATGGAGAAAATCTTAACTCTGAGAACTCTTGTTCATCGGGGGAACCAGGAAATGCTGGACTTAAAGGTGCACCGGGAGATGAAGGATTTCAAGGGCCACAGGTATGTTGGAACATTTGATAAATATTGATACATAACGCTGAATTACCCTGATGGGAAGAATGCAGGTAGTCCTGTATAAAAAAATAAATAACTGAGAACATTTTAGTCTGCCCACTCCTCATGGTAATATATCTGAAATTCTGCATTTCCCTCTGTCGGTGGGTGACTTTGCTCTGTCAAACTTGTGCCCACATTTGCAGCTCGCTGGTTACCCTTTTGTAGAAGAAAGGTATACTCTTGTGCTCATCTGATATTGTGTCTGCATTGTAGTAATAATTATAATATAAATATTATACCTTGATATTATATTAATTGATATATTAATATCAGGATCAATAAATCAGTTTTCCTTAACTGAGATCCTGAACACAGACACCCATGAAAGAAAGTTAGTTCATGCAACTCACCTAAAGCTAACTCCATAGAGGGCGACAGTACTCCCGGAATATTACAGATAGGGCTTTATGTGAACCACTCACATTTGGTCATGCCATATTATTAGTTATATGGGCATCACAAGTCAGGGCTTCTCTGCCTTCTCTTCTCTTTTCCATGCCAGAAAGATACTGGGCCATGCCTAGACCAGCTGGCAGGTCCTCTAGATTGAGTAGCCATAGGACCAGGCTGGATCCATCCTCAGGCATTTAGGTGGGAGTGACAGGTGCCTCAGATACTCCAGGGCCCCTTTGAACCTAAGTGCTGTGAGTTAGACAGAATAGGACCTGCGCACTATACAGGCCATTAGCAAAGGCTAGTCCATTGGTTCCTGCCGCCATTTGTACTGGGCAGCCAGAACCTATTTCACACCTGGTGCTTTGGTAGTGAGAAACCTTACTGAGACGTCTAGTTTTTCCTTCTGTGTAAGAGAACCATCTGAGAACCATGGATCTGAAGGTAAATATGGCAGAGAAATACGCTCTGGTTCCTCCAATAAGGGTCTGCTACTAAACACCCTTTGTCCTAACTTGAAACAACATTGCTCTCTATTTTACATATTGATAAACCCCATCAAGAACTCCGTCTGTTTCTTGTTTATGTCTTACTTCCTTCGTCTGTGGGCTTTCCTTTTCTCTTTAGTCTTTCTTTGTCATTTCTCCCTGTAGGAGAGGGATGAAGGTCATACACCCAGGTAGGTAATTCCTTAATAAGAT